AGTGAGGTTGGCCCAGGATTGGACATTGTTTCGTTCTGCTGTGCATGGTGTCACTATGAGTCAGTTCTGACTCGATGGCACCTGACAACAACAATACATCATTTTTAGGTTTTCTAAATTCCACGTTTATTAGATTGAAAAATAATAGAATCCCCAAAATATCTAGCTACTTGAAGGATGTCACAATTTCAGGATTTCTGCATTCCCTGTTCGGAGTCCTGTTAGGGTGCTATAGGATAAACACTAGACCACAAGGTCAGTTTGAATAGCAAGGTATCATTTTGCTTCCACATTAGACAGTGATACCGTGCAGATCATTGGCTTGTCCTTAGCAACTAGGTTTATGGGGTTTTAATTTAGATATATACCCTATCACCTGATTTTGTTGGTGTATTTTTGTTTTTGCTGTTTCCTTTGTTTTTATGTGAAGATTAAGAGATTTAGAAACTGTTCATACTCTTCATCCAGGAATCTTTTTTCAATAATTTCTTTGAATTTAGGGTACTAATCATCTCTGTTTATCTTGGGTGGTTTCACAGGCCAGATACATAAAAGGGAATAAATAAATAAGGTAGAGCAAGTGGCACCTGAGATTATTTGGTGATTGATTTCTTAAGTTCTGAGGAATCAATCCTTTTTAATAAATTATATCTAGCAACAATATTAGAATATAAACTCTGAGGACAGTTTCTGTGACAGTTTGTATTCTGAAGCGACTCAGGCTCAATATTTAGCAGATACTCAAATATTCAATGGGAAAATGTATTAATTTGTAGTGATTCTGTTCTTTAGTAAGAGTATGTATTCTACTGTAAAAGACTAAGAAAACCCATACTAAAGGGGGGTGGGGGGAATTCTTTGTTGATTACTGGGAAATTAGGGGTGGGGGAGCGGTTGGGAGGGTAAGGGGGAGCACAGGGCAGGGATTAGACACAGGATAGTTTGGATGCTGGGGAGCGGTGGGCAATATACAAGAAGGGAGATGGGAATGGAAGAACAAAGCTCAAAAGAGGAAACAAATCCGTACAGCAAGAATCATTCCCACCCCCTCCACACACAGAGTAGACAGGGATGGGCAACCTGGACATTGGCTACCCAAAAAAGGGGGAGCCACAAAGGCAAAGTGACTGGCTCACAAGCTTTCAAGAGGAAACCTAGATTCAGAGGGCATGGAGGAAGGTAGAATCTCCACTGAGTAGTAGGTGGGGCTGATGAAATGTGGATGGGTCTCTTGTGATACGATAGTGAATAATTATTATCAGGAATGCTTGTAAGGGTTGGAAATGTAAACGTAGACGTTTTGTAGCAAGGAGGGGAGTGATTTACTTTTCAGCCTAGGAGCGAAGGTCCCTGGGACCATCAAGGGAGAAGAGCGGAGAGCGTGACCTTACCCAGAGAAGCAGTGATGCCAGTGCTGTTTCAGTGCCACATCAGAAGTCCAATGTCTTCTTTAAGTTTCTTCCATTTAATCACAAATTGCCAGTTCTAAAATGAGCTTAGGAGTCTTGGTGTGGCGCTGTAGGATACGTACTTGACCAGAAGGTTATGTCTGAACCACAAGGTAGACTGTTCAAACTCACTAGCCACTCCTCCAAACCCCTATACAGGATCGCTATGAGTCTAAGCAATACCCTCTTAGCAACAATAAAAAGGTAGATAGACCTTTATTCCTAAACTACTATTTCAGTTTTAAGATGATTTTAGGGGATATTTGAGTTAAGATTTGAAGATTATCTAAGGGGAATAATTTCAGGGGTTCATTTAGAGACCATGAAAACCTAAAATTCTCTTCTACATTTCCCCTGTTTTGATCAACATTCTTCTATGGAATCTTTAATCAAAATATTCAGTAATGGTAGTCAAATACCATTATCAGCAAGTTAGTAACAGGAAGTACTAATTTAAGCTGTAACAATTGTTCTTCCCTACTAACTGTTCTGAAATGCAGTAAACACTGTCTCTATATCATTTTGATTTCTAAATTATATATTCAGAATCAAACATATTTAACCTTTTCTTAGTAGAATAATCAATGAAGATTTACTCGTTGAAAGAAACAGTTATCTGCCTTTCACTGAGTGCTAGAAACCTTAAAAAGACCAACAATTTGAAATCTACTAAGAGGCCTAACTAGTTCCAGATATTCGTACTACTAAGATTTATATAGACATAAAAGTACAAACAAGTTTTAAACTTAAAACTGTTCTTTTTTCCTCCCAAACAAATATATTCTTGTGAAGCACTGTTGCTGAAGTTAAGTCCTGTGGAGTGCTATGGTTCTGACCCGTAGTGACCTGTACAGGGTTTCTAAGGAGCGGCTGGTAAGCTTGAACTGCCGACCTTGCGGTTCAAACTGACTTTGCAGTCCAGCACATTAACCCACAGTGCCACACCAGGACTCTGTGAGGCACTGTAAGATAAGCACTAAACTGCTAACTGAAAGGTTGGCTGTTCAAATCCACTAGAAGCTCCCTGGAAATCCTTACACAGGGTCACTATAAGTCAGAGTTTACTCAAAAGCACTTAGCAACAATACTAAATACATGAAATTTCCGTATGTTTAATATGAAATTGCCCAATGGGAAAAGAGGGTTGAGTTTTCTCTACACACCATTATGTTACCCATAGGGGGTAATCCCCTTCAAGAGGTTCTCATTTGAACTACAAGTAAGAAATGCATTTAATGAACCACCTTGTCAATTTTTTAAAAGATGGTATATGACCAGTAACAGTAGGTGGACAGTTCACACCTTCCACCTTCTAGTAAATCCTGTACAGGCTCACTCTGAATCACAATGACTTGAAGGCACTTATTAACAACAGAGGACACACTGGAATTTATGTTAATGAGGTAAGAGGGTGAGAATGGGTATACAACCTCAAGGTTAAAATTATTGTCACTAAATTGTAAATACAGGAATTGTTGGATTCATGTGTTTTGTTGTGTATATTCTCAGCAACACTGAATATTGAGGGAAAAGAAAGGTTATTTTGGTCAAAGCAGTCTGAGGAAAATTGTACTTTTTTTTTTTCGTTCCATTGATCTTTTGATCTGTAGTACTTCACTAGATACTTTATCATCATCACCATCAAATTATTAAATGACCTACTTAAATTTTTGTCATTACATAAAAACTGTTAGTCACTGATTTCTGTAAAAAGATTGTGTTTATTCTTATTTATATCATATTATACTGGAGTCCTGGTGTGGTACTGTGGATTACTGTGCTGGACTGCAGAGTCAGTTTGAACCGCAAGATTGGCAGTTCAAGCTCATCAACTGCTCCTTGGAAACCCTGTTCAGGTTCGCTTAGGTTGGTACTAACTTAATGACGCTTAACTAAAACTCATTTGTTAGTGCCATGGAGTTGATTCTGAGTCATATACTGACTCTGTATAGGGTTTCCAAGGAGCATTTGGTGTTTTCAAATGACCGACCTTGTGGTTGTCAGTCTAGTGCTTATCTCATAGTGCCACACTAAGACTCCTTTGAAGTACCTAAAATAAGGTATTTCCAGAATGAATGAATTGATTGTATTCATTCCATTTATTTGCACATTATGTTAATTATCTGTTATTCCCATTTACCTAACTTAAAGTGGTTTGGAGCAGAATTTGGAATTTAGTATTGGTGAAATGAAGGTGCAGGAAGATGGAACTGATATCAATTCTTGATGAAATGGCAAGGAATGGTTATCATGACTGAGAAAGTGAAAACATAAGCAGAAGTTGATGGTAGTACTTTTAAGGGCTTGTAATTTGTTTGAAAACTTCACAATAAAGGATACACTTGGGCTTAAAGGAAGATCATGTTGTCAGTAGTAGTTCTTTGTAAATAATGTTGTTTTTTCCCCTGAAGAAATGATAGCCTAATGTTGGTCAAGTAAATTAAGAGGAGACAATTGAATTTATTTAAGGATATATTCAGGGTCTTTTATCTCTGGATAGTAAGTTGATAACAACCACTTACTGCTGCTATATTTCTTTATAATTGACTGTTAATCTAGGCATTATATTAAGAATAGAGACTTCTATGTTTTAGCAAGGATTATTTAATATGTGTTCACCTGAATGCAGTTTTTTTTCCTTCTAGTTTTTCAGTTGACGAACCTTGTCAAACACCATGGCCAGCAATGTTACCAACAAGACAGACCCTCGCTCTATGAACTCCCGAGTGTTTATTGGAAATCTCAACACTCTGGTGGTTAAGAAATCTGATGTGGAGGCAATTTTCTCAAAGTACGGCAAAATTGTGGGTTGCTCTGTTCATAAGGGCTTTGCCTTTGTTCAATATGTTAATGAGAGAAATGCCCGGGCTGCTGTGGCAGGAGAGGATGGCAGAATGATAGCTGGCCAGGTTTTAGGTAAGTTGTGAGTTGAATGAATTTTGGGACCATAAAGGTTTTCTGTTGGTGTTTGTCTCTCTTACTCTCAGCACTAAAAGCCTGATATGTTCTGTATATTACATCTTTTTAACCTAATAATAATGTTAGATTGGTGTACATCGTTAGTCCCAGCTACTAACCAGAGGGTTGGTAGTTAGAACCCACTTTTAGTGGCACAGTGGAAGAAAAACATGTTGTAGATCTGCCTTCATAAGGATTGTATCCAAGACAATCCTGTGGTTTATAATTTAAAAATATTTACTGAGAAAATCAAATCTAGTTTCTCTCTAATCAAGTTTTTGCTGATCAGTCAGTCCAAATCCCAAGTTATTATTGATTCTGTTCTTCTCTGGTCTACTTCTATTCTGACATCAGTACATGCAGAACTTGACCACCTGGAGGCAGGCCATGTTTTAGACATTAAAGGAGATAATCTTTCAGATTGACAAGTCTGCAAAAGACCTTCAGGCTCCAATTGCAAATCTTGGGAGTAGTCCCTGTGACACATTTGCTGGCTAAAAATTCAGGGTGTTCTCAACCTTGTGGGATGCCAATCTCTTATTGTCAAGTGTCTCCCAAGGTTCCTTCTCACTTCGGACCTACTGGCTCCCATTACTCCTTTTGTTTGTTAGCCTCCTACCATGGAGTCCTGGTGTGGCGCTGTAGGATAAGCACACTTATACAATTAACAATCCTCCCCCAAACTGAAGATCAAGGAAATTCCGCACCCAGAAAAGACTTCAAGAGTCGATGATGTGAACATTGGATATGTTCCAAAACCAAAATGCAGGATTAGAACCATAGTCAATACAAAATTAATTGCGTCACTGCTGACACACACTTTATTAAACCATTATTAAAACTTAAATTGTATTGCATCCTACAAATGGAGACCACAAAGAAACAAAAAGCTGATAGACTGTTGATCTTTCCAAGAGAAATAGATAAATGCCAAACTTGTGTGCCTAGTTTGCAGGGTTGCATTAGCAATACAGAAAAAAAAACATGGTTGGCTTGAAAAACCAGGTTAATTACATTTGTCAAGAAATAACTGAATCTTCACAATCTTAATTCAAGTGATTGAATTACATCACTACCTCACACACTAACAAAGTCTCTGTGCACAGTAGATGTGGCTCAACAATGTGATTTCAACGTGTCATGCATGAATGTTTTCAAAAGCAGAGGGTTTAGCAGCTGCCAGTTTAAAAGAGTTGACTCTGTATGGTGATCTTGTTTATAACTGTGAAGTGCGATGGTTGAGTCATTGGAACATGCTCATGAGGTTTTACAAACTGCTGATACTCAATGATAATAGGTGGCTGTGTGATCTAGCATTCATGGTAGACATTACCAAGTACCTTTCAGAACTCAATGTCAAGCTGCAGGGCCAAACCAGCTTCTCACATCACTGCTTTCAAACGTGAGAATCATCTGAAGCTAAATTAAAGTTATGGAGAGTACAACTCAACAGGAATAACATGGTGAATTTCCCCACTCTGAAAAGACAGCAACCTTCTCTGACACTTGAATTCATTGGTGAATGTGTGAAATTGAGGCATTTAATGAAAGCACAGGTTAAACATCTTTACAGTACTGTCTGCTTTCAGCCAAGATCCATCTGACTTCAGTAATGATATCCCCTCTTGTTCTGTGTTCTCATTTAATGGAGTTATCAGTGTCAACAACATCTTCATTAGTCATAGGAGACAAGGTCATCAACATGGGGAGGAATCATCTCATTGCAGTTCGTCTCATCATCTCTAGTTTCTCCATAGTGTGTTAACACTTTACCTATTGTAAATTCATTCCCAGCCTGCTGTGGCTGACTGTCCTCTGAGCCACCACAATACAGGCAGATGCGTTGTGACAAGAAGCATTTGTCTGTCTCATAATGGACATTCCTTGCTTGTCTCTCAGTTTTGTTATTGCTTTGATTCACTTCATGTTGCCATGAAAAAAACACTTAGGTTAATTGGCTTTCCACTTCTCCCTGCAATTGCCTTGGCAGGGCCAGACCAAATGACTTAGGAGTCTGTTTTTCCTCACTCATAATGTATAGGGTTTCCGTGGGTTTCTGTTGAATTCGACCCACCAGCCTTGTGTTTCAAACAGACCTTTGGTCCAGTGCTTAATCATCTTACAGGGCCTCACCACAATAGGTGCTTAAATATATGCATAGAACCTTTCCTGGATAGGTAACCCATTATCACTTACTGATACTTTTTTCCTGAAATAGGACAAATTGGGCAGTTTGAGCAGAATTACATTGAGAGTTGAAAGATACTTAAAATAGCTTTTTACTTAATCTTACTGAATTTTTTGATTACAGCAGAGTACAAAACGAATAAGAATTAGGCTTGTCAAATTCTAAAGCTTTTTTTATGTAATAAATGAGTGGGTATGTATGTATTTCATCCTTAATTCTTTTATATGACTGTACCTTTAAAAGCTGTAAACATCTTAGTTTTTTTCTACCAAAGTTATTAAAATTGTTTGGTTTTGATTTTCTAGATATTAATCTGGCTGCAGAGCCAAAAGTGAACAGAGGAAAAGCAGGTGTGAAACGATCTGCAGCGGAGATGTACGGGTCAGTACCAGAACACCCTTCTCCGTCCCCTCTACTCAGGTCCGGAACTTTATTATTTATAACTGCATTGTGTCCATCAGTGGGCATCTTCTCTTATCTGTTTTCTGGATTTGGGGATTTGGGGAGGTGGGGAGGTTAGATGTTGTTTCTGCTTTATTTTGTTAAAAGTAATACTTTATTAATTAATTCTATGTTAATATGCCTCCTTTTATCATTTCCCAGAGAATTAACTAGAATTCTCTGAGAGTCTTTAAAATACAGTTTGCTGTTCACAACATAAATTGAAATGCTTCAGGGGGAGGGTGTTTTAGGGTCTAAGAAAGGGGAAGGACTTGTGGTAACAATGCTGCACTGGCCTGTAATTTTCAGTATTCTTATTCTTTTAGCTGTTATGTGTTGAAATTTTATCAAACATTCATGTGAATTTACCAGTTTGGCTACTTTATGTCCAGTGGTCTAGGATGATAAGCAATCCTTTTGAGGAAAATAGTTTGAGACCTTTATTTATTGTTTTGAGTGTTTGGAAAGTATTCCATGCTAAAGTTGATTTGATGTATTTGTTGTGATGTTTTGGCATAGTTGTTGTTTTTTTTTTTTTTTCCCGTCTACTGTTTTGATTTTTTATCAGCAGCTCCAAAAGTAAACCTCTTTGTTACTTACTTTTTCAGCTCTTCTTTTGACTTGGACTATGACTTCCAGCGGGATTATTATGACAGGTATGTTGAAGGAATTTTCTCTTTTGGTTTCAATCTGTGAAGTGTAGTAAGTTTTTTGCTCTTTTATGTAGTAATAAACTTGCCCCCTCTTTTTAAAAAATACTGTGAATTATATGATAGTTTACATGGGAGAACATTAGCTTTATACTCATTCTATTGTATATCATTTCATTGCCATGGTTACAATTCCCTCCATGCATCATCAACCAACCAAAGGGTATACCCTACAAGTCCTCTCTGTCCCTCCCCTCCCCAAGTCTTAAGCACACAGCCACTCTCCCTCTCTGTGTCTAAAGTCCCCAGAGGCTCCATCTCTCCATGTCATCGTCTCTGCCTCCATCTCTGGCATCACTGCTTCTCTGGGTAGGGTCCCACACTCCGCTCTTCTCTCCCTTGATGGTCCCAGGGACTTCCACTCCTAGACTGCAAAGTCAACCACTCACCACCTTTTGCTACAAAACATCTACCTTTACATTTCCAACCTTCACAATCAATTCTGATAGCATTTATTCACTATTGTACGACAAGAGTCTTAATCCCCATCGCCTTTTATCAGCCCCATCCAGACAGATTGGATATTCAGTAGAGATTCTACCTTCCTCTGTGCCCTATGGATCTAGGGTCCCTCTTGAAAGCTTGTAAGCCAGTTATTTCTTGCATTTGTAGCCCCCCAACTTGGGTAGCCAATGTTCAAGTTGCCCATCCCTGTCGTCTTCTCTGTTTATATAGGGGGTGGGAATGATCCTTGCTGTAAAGATTTGTTCACTCTTTTGAGCTACTGCATCCATATGTGTAGGTCAAGTTCATCAAATTGCATCAGATTATTCTTTTTTCTAGTTGGAACTTTTCTTTTTATAGTAATGAATAGTAAATGTGATTTTAAACTAAGTATCTCCACACAACAAACATTCAGAAGTAGGCAATAAGGGTGACATTTCTGTTGATGTCTAACAGTTCATATATTGTCAGTGCATAAGGGGCTGGCTGTCTGGTATATGATTTTCACTTAGTTTTGTAGAGGCAAGTCATTTTTACTTTGGATTTAGTTAAGATACCAAAAAAGGAAGTGATGCCTATCTGAGTTACTTAATGATGACAGTGGGGGGGGGGGTTCATTAGTCTTTCTCTGTTCTCTTCATTATTTTTCTGTTGTATACTTCCCACTTGACTTGGAATATTCCATGTTTGTTTGGCATGTTTTGTTTTTTTTTCCATCTGCTGCTATTTTTGTATAGGGGGAATACAGAAACACTGAAATGACCCCTTTAAAACCATATATCCTCCTTAGAGCCAACCAACTAACCCACAGAATTGAATGCAGTAAGCATGCAATTTTGTATGCCATGGGTTAGCAATAATACTGTCGTGAGTTTGCAGTAATTGTATTGTGGATAGATGGCGATGACAGAAGTTGGAATAATTATCCTAATAACTGCTTTCACAGTCGCTTTATTTCCTATTTGAAAGTCATGAGAAAAAAAATTGGAAATTGAGTTGGATAGTATTGGGTGACAGCTGGCACTGAATGATGCATTTAGATTTGATTTTGGATGATTTATTGGGGACATTATTTAATGTCATTAAACAGTATATAAACCTTTATTGTCCATATTCATGTATGACTGATAAGCAGTCCAAATAGATTTTTGCTTTTTCTCATCTTGGAGATTGTGTGTGTGTGTGTGTGTGTGTGTGTATAGGTATAATGATTAATACTTGTTATTAATGTAAAATTCCAATTGGATTATCCTTTGTTTTTGACATAAAATCAGTAGCATTTTAAGAATGCTCACAGAAGAGGAAATACTTGAAAGAGAAAATCATGAAATGGAGTTAGGAAATGGAATTCAAGTCAGTCAATAAACAGCATGAGCAAAGAACTGAAAATAATGTATGCTGATTTGGTTTAGAATAAGGGGAGAAAGTTTGGAGATCTGCATTGTATATAAAGTTCCTTGAATGACACTATAATAAGATTTTTCACTGAAAACATCATGAAAATGGGATTATCATTTGTCCTTAGTGATTTGCTCAGATTTTATGGTTATGTGTGAAGACTTGATTTAGAAAATAGCTTTTTTATTTAATTGAGAGACTTTAAAGAAGAAAATGGTAGTGGTGGTGGCTATGTGCCGTGGAGTCGTTCCGACTCATAGTGACCCTGTACAGGGTTTCTGAGGCTGTAAATTTTTACGAGAGCAGATTGCCTCATCTTTCTCCCGTGGAACAGCTGGTAGTTTCGAACTGCTGACCTTGTAGTTCGCAGCCCAATTTGTAACCACTAGGAAAAACAGGCAAGTTTAGAGTTAAGATCTGAACACAGCTTTGATAGTGAAAAACCTGGTTGTGGTTGTGTGAGAAGCTTAGTGATTTTGTGTGAAACTACCCTTAACTCTTCATTAGCCACATTTTAATGGCTGTATGCTCTGTCCCACCTGTTGTTGTTAAGTGCCGTCTAGTTGATTCTGACCCATAGTGACCCTGTATAGGGTTCCCAGGAGCAGCTGGTGAGTTTGAACCACTGACCTTGCAGTTCAAATGACTTTGCATTGTGATGCGTTAGCCCACCCATTTGTAGGGATTCGTAAATCACTAGTCTGACTATTTTTTGTTAGTAAGTACTGGCATGTTTCTATAATAGAAAGCACTGCTCCTCAGAAACCTTATATTTGGATTGCTATGGGTTTACATTCGACTCAAAAGCACTTAATAACAACAAAGAGAATCTAGGCCCTTGTGGCACTGTAGAAAAAGCACTGAAATGCTAAAAGGTCAGTAGTTTAAAGCCACAAACTACTCTTCAGAAAACCCTATATTAGGGTCTTTATGAGTTGGAGCTGACTCGGTGGCACTTAATAACAGCAAGAGAACCTAGTGTGCAGTCAGAGGTAAGAATTCCTAAAGAATTAAGAGTAGTTCTGTTTCTGTGGTTCTCCTTTTTCTTTATTAAAATCGTATCAGAAATTCTGATACAGCCTACCTTTTAAAATACAATTTCTAGGTGATCATGGACTTGTAGGTAAGAAATTCTTCTTTTAAATGACAGATCTGTAATAGTGTACACCTTTTACTCTGCTAATAAGACTTTTTTTGTTTTACTAAAGTCTTAACTGTTGCAGGACACAATATGACTGCTGTAAAGGCATATATACACATTTTGCAATGCAGCATTTTTCAGGTGTAATTTAATAGTATCAAATACATCATCGAGTTGGGTAATCACTAATAGGCAGATTTTTTTTTCAATCTTTCTGTCATTCCCTCATGAACAGTTTGAGACAAATGTTTTAAATGATCGATTTTGAAGGGCTTGTTTGTAAGAGGAGAGGAGGTGGAGACAGTAGGAATGATGGTGATATGTATGTATATATTTGCAGAAGGAAATTGGTGGTCATACCTCTGCTGGCCTCACTCAATTTTTTAAGAGGTAGATAATATCTGTATTGTCTAATATTATTGTTTGTCATATCAGTGAAAAGGAATTTTCCTCTTCCCATTCTAACCAAAGCCAAGAGAGCTGATGACTGATGGAGCAGCAGTAACCACTTAGTAGAAATGAACAGTGTTTATTTTATCAAAAATTTTAGAAGATGAGTCAATGCTGGGAGACGAGTGACTTCTGTCTCATATCTACCCAGTATAGGGTTTCCAAAGAGTAACTGGTGAGTTTTAACAGCTGACCTTGTGGTTCAAACCAACATTGCAGTCCCGCATTTATCCATTCATCTAGCCTTTGTTAGAGATTAAAGTTGTTGATTTTAAGTGCCTTGGAGTCAGTTCCAACTCATAGGATCCTGTATAGGGTTACCTAGGAGTGGCTGTTGAGCTTGAACTGCCAACCTTCCAATTCAAACAGACCTTGCAGTCCAACACATTAACCTGCAGCAACCCACACCAGGACTCCAGAAGTTAAATTGCCTGTTCATATAACAAAAGTGATACTAATGTGAAACTCATGAAACCAAACTACTCAAGCTTTTTATTTTCCCCCTTTCCAATTCAGTCCCAGGAGAACAAGTTACATTTTAAATTCCGAGGATAAAATGGTCGACAGCAATTCCTCCTCTGTCCTTTCTTAGCCTTGATTCTTTTTCTCTTTTCCACACTTAGGTTCCTCTTCTGAGAGGATACTTTTCTACTTTGTTTTCTTTTTATGCTTATGCTCTTGATTGACACTATTTCCATTTCTAGCTTCGTTTCCTTTTCTGTTTATGGCTGGCTTTGATGGGTGGTGTGGTGGTGGTTATGTGCTGTGGAGTCAGTTCTGACTCATAGCGACCCTGTACAGGGTTTCCAAGGCTTGATGGGTACTGGTACTGATTTCTGAGAAGTACTTTTCTAATTTCCAGATTCTCCATGTATGAACCACAATTAAATTCTTGCTGACTAAGATCCAGGACTACTGTTAATTCTGTGTAGTTTATTGTCATGAGCTGACAGTTGCTGAGATAGCTGGTTTTATAGTATTTGTGGAATGTTATATGATCTTGGACATAAGTATGATCTGTTTCTGATGGGAGTGTTTGATTAGGCATTCTTTACTGGGTTTAGAATCAACCTCTTCTTTATACCCAAAGCTGTCTAAAGAGTATTCTCTCATCTTTCTGAAACAGGTCTTTGGCTGGCTTTCTACACTTTATGTAAGATCGTCAAGCTCATCTTGGAAAGAGTCATATGTCTCATTTGAATGCTTCATTAGATTAACAAAAGTGATTGTCCTAATCAGACTGAGAACTTGGTCAAGATATGTGATTATATTTTCTCTTTAACTTTTCTAGTTTTCAGCATGAACTTCCCACACAAATTGTGCAGTAATCAGGGAACTTCTGTGAGGTAGGGGTGGATGTCTGCAACTATACTGTCCCTATTCTGCAGGATCTACCTATCAGCCAGGGCATAGGCTGGGCTTGAAGTGTTGGAGAGGTAGGAACAATTGCAGCCTACACTGCATATAAGACGTGGCAGAAGAAGCTAGATAGAGATTTAAAAGGTTACTAATT